GAGGCAAGTTAGTTCTATCTGCAGTGGTGGTGGGAGTTGTGTGTGCGAACAGATTCCGAGATTAGGTCCCACCCTCCGCAACATCAGGTATTTGAGGGCTAGTGAAGCCTGTGAGTTTTAGGTGCACAGTTACTCCCCCCACCTAATGTGAAGGTGCCATGGAAATAGAAAATGAATCTGTCAGAGACAGCGGATGTCACGGAACCTGCCCTCCACCTGTCACCGGGCCTGAGGTCATAACATGAGGAATTGAGAGCAATTACCCCGCTCTGTGAAATCCATTTTTCTCCAATGGAGAAGTCACTCTGGCAAGAGCTCTAAATAAAGGATTGTAGCATCTGATGGGAATGGAGTGATGAGAATAAACTGAGTTGTGGAAATGGAAAGGAGCCCAAATACAGGCCCGTGCAGAGGGGCCTCAGCCCCTTCACATTCTTATTTTGTGCACACCGAGTGACACAATGGCGGAGGAAGGCAGCCTGGAAGCTTAATTAGGTCACTGAATTCACTACTGGAGAATTTCGAGTTCTGGCCAGAACCCAAGCTAGGCTCCATGAAATTTCAACTAAACCAAGACAGTCATCATTGTGTGACAAATTATAGCTAATGGATACATGTTCTTGAATAATCAGGATGTACCAATGCTGTGTTTTCTGTCTCCTCCAAGCTGTGTTTTTCTCTTAGGTCCTGCAAGCACTGACTTAGCACAGCCCTTGAGATAGATTTCAGGTGTCTGACAAATACTCCGAAGTTTAAACTAAATTCAGCTGGTCTACAAGGTCTCACCAGCTTTGTAGAATTCCCTTTGCCCAATAAAGGGTTAGTTATGAAAACGTATGATGAGTCAACATGTCAGTCTGGGGCCCCAATCATGGAGTATTTGATTTAGTTTAAATTGTCTGTTATTAATTGCCTGTTTTTAGCTCAGTGTCATGCTAGACACGGAAGAACAGACCCATGTAGTTTCTTCTTCCAGTGAGTTTACTTGCTTTTGTTTATTCATCAAATACTTTCAAGCACTTTTTATGGGCCAACTACCTCGATATGTGTGAGGAATATTATCATTAATAAGGCAGACAAGACTGCTGCTCCCAAGAGCTTGCATTCCAGGGAAGGTGACAGAGGAAAAAGCAATTACAATAAAGTCTCTGTGTACAGCAGAAAAGGTACAGGCTTTCAACTATGATGGCCTTGCCTAGTGTCAGATATGCAAGTAAGGAAAGGTGTCTTGGTGGCTCTGGTAGTTGATCAGCAGCTACTTCTCAAATGGCATCTAGCCTCAAACAGAAATTTGCAAGTTGACTCTTGAATGGTAAGAATTACTCAGATAAAAGAGGTGAAAGAGTAGAGTAGATTATTCTGCACAGAAGGAGCAAATTATAAGATTTCCTGAAGGTGAGATTTATAGAACTGAATATAGAGTGCTGTAGATGAGGCCACAGAATGAACAAGTATAGGTTTCAGAGGGACTTGTAGGTCATGTTACAGAGCTTGGACTCTATTATGAGAATAGTGAGGAATATTTCAATGGTTCTGAGTCATAAATGAGACAGATATTTTTGTGCAAGTGATTATTTTCACAGTTGTGTTGAGATTGGGCTAGAGAGGAGCATGGTTTAGAGGCAGGCATCTCTGTGTGATGTAATAAATCAGATCATAAATGATGATGGTCTCAACTGGGAAAGTGGCCATGGCTGGAACTGTATATATCTGGGAATATCAGGAAGGAGGAATCTCAGCACTTGGTCAAAGACAGTGATCACAGATTAGCTATGATAGGAAAGGAAAAGGGAAGGTGGTGCAGTTTACTCAAAAAAATACAGATGGAGACATAAGTGAGGAAGGGAAGCCAAAGAATTCAGTTTTGGAATGTGTTGAGTTAAATGTCAGGTAGCATTTCAGCTAATAAATCTGAAGCCCAGGAGAGAGATTCATGATGGAAATTTAGTTCTAGGACTTACCAACATGTTAATCAAAAAATCTTCACTTGGTGGGCTTAGAGGGAGGAGGTTACATGAATCCTTATGCAGTAGAGGGTCTCTGAATCTCCTAACATGTTTTAAATGTTTGAGCTCACTTGTTGGCATATTTAGTTTTTGTCTAGAGAAAATAAAATGATGCAAATTTTCTTGACAAGGACTATAACTCAGAGACAGTAAAGGATCACAGAAGAAATTGAATCACTTTGATAAAAGTGCCCAAGGAACACCATTTAGGCTGACTTTGCTGAGCCAGAACCACAAGAACACATAGAGGAGGGTTCTGAAAATGAACTTGAGAATTCAGCAGCCAGAAGCAGTTCAGGGGGAGGAGGCAGTGGTGAGATGGAGTGAGTGAGTGAGTGAGTGAGTGAGTGAGTGAGTGAGTGAGTGAGTGAGTGAGTGAGTGAGTGAGAGGAAAGGGAAACAAAGAGGACACATGTAGGCAAATCTAGAAGGAACAGGAGAGCTTTGAAGAGGTTTTTGGAAAAAAAAAATAATAACTGAGGAACAAGGTGTGTGTTTTCCACTTTATATAACCAATAGCATTTTTAAAACACAAAGATCTTTAAATAATGATAAATCAAATCTCAAGAGTTGAACCTTGGGTGTCTCCAGTACTCAAGGGAAAAATTACAAATTGAGTGAAGCCTTAAATGATTAATAAGTTTTTGAACAGATGAGGATGAGCCATTCATTAGAAGAAATCTGAAAAAAAAATAAAAAATAAGATATTCTCATTGTCACCCAAGAATATATTCTTATTGTCACTCAAGAATATTTTCTCAATCAAAATAAAGTAAAATGGGCATTGTGTATAGATGAGACGGTGACTACAGATGAAAGTGTTAACAGTTCCAAGATATAGAATCTGATTTACAATTACTACTTACATCCTTTGTCCTCACACATGAGACCAGCATATTCTTTGAGATGATGTTGTTCATTTCCTCATTTAGCATTTTTAACACCAGGTAGGATGCTAAATCAGTGTAAGCTGGTGCTTCTATCACTTAGACTTCAAACATCCTCCCTACATATAAACGCACCCATAAATAAAAGTGCTAATGTTCATTCTTTAATAGGTAACTTAACACAAGTAACTCCCTACAGAAAGGAGATTGTTGGAGACCTGGCTCATAATTGAATATTGTGCATTTCACATATCTAAATTATTTTTCTTGATCTTTTGAAAATAATGTACAAATGCTAAGTTGTAAAGATTATTTAACATGTCTTACTTGAATAGGTACTGTTTAAATAGTAGCCTTCCAGTGTGTTCTAACATATAACCATACAGAAAGTAGAATATAACTATCGGGTTATAAATTGAAGGTGGCCCTTAGCAAACCTGAGAATTGGCCTTACCCAGGAAGGTTTGGGTCAGGGGCCACTGCTTTAGGGTCATCACCTTGTAGTTAAGAAGGCCCAGCAGTGTCAGTAATAGTCTTAGTTTTCCCTTACATCTTTGCAGTAAGTTTGGGTCACTGGTCCTAACCGATCATCACTGTACAAGAGAAATACTTGTGTATGGCTGTGCAGAAACCAACACTATTTGTTTTGTTTTGTTTTGTTTAAGATTTATTTATTTATTTGTACATACAGAACTGGGGTACAGGCTAGAGATGTGGAGGGTGAGAGGCTTCACCAGACACAGAGTGGGGAGCAGACCAGGCAGATCGACGAAGTACACTGCTGAGGGGAGCAGCGGATGGGTCAGGAGAGGTCTGCCACGCCATGTGGTCACCTCCGGGGCAGGGGGGAATCGAACTCATGTGGAAGTGGCTTAAGCTTCTTAGTGCTGTGCTTTAACCCGCTGCGCCACCAGGGAGGGCCCCCACCACTATTTGTTAAAGAATCTTATTTGCCTATTTAAGAAAGTGATTAGTTCCTTCCCACGGTTCAAGACATCTGCCACAAAAAAAAGTAATGATGTAAAAACACCACATTATCTATTGGTCTCTATGAACCTTGACTTTCTATATTTTTGTCCCGTTGCCTGTTTAAAAATACAGACACTCACAGCATTTTGGGGTCTCAGTGGACTGATCTTTCTCCTTCATCCCCAGCTGGGGGTTGTCCTGTCCTTTGTGGAAAAGCACACTGCCCAGAGACCAACCTCTCGTCACAGTCATCCTATCAACCCAGGTGTTACTTTTCCAGGGGATGCACTCTTTGCTTGTGGTGTTGTAATTTACAATATGCGGCCTCAACAAATAGCTGCTTGGCCTTTGCAATTTTGTAGTCAAAGACTCTGGTTATGGGAACACATGTTTGTGCAAATTGCATATCCCTTGTTGCCTCTCATGTGTCACAAGTACCAAAGACAAGCCTTTGGCTAATGACTTCAAATCCTGCCACACCGAGCTCTCTATTTTCTAGGGTTTTAAGTGTCTTTTATCTGAGTCGTTTGACCCATTTTTGAGAGAGCTTTCTGGTGACCTTATTTGCTATGGGAAGGAAATCTGAAGACACCTTATGTTGTTTAGAAACCATGATAGAAAAACTCTTCTGATCTGAGAAAATGTCATTTTAGAACCCAGAATGCGAACACTGATGATAACTCTTGAGATCTGGAAAAATAAGTCTGAGTATCAAATTGTTTGAATGGTTCTCTCTCTCAAAGAAGAATTATTTTTCTAAGGAAAAACAGAATAGAGCATTGTTCTTCACACCCAGGTGACGCTGTCATGGATCCAGGAGTGTCACAGACAAACCTCCCTGAGTGGCAATGTTTCAGACACCTGTTGGGGAACCCTTGAGTTCACAACACAGTTGTCTTGTGGGCACTTCAGACAGACCCTCACTCAACTGAATGCCAGAGTGTGGGATGAGGGGAGCCTCCATCAGCACCCACCCCATGCCTCTAAGCTATTTCTGAAAACAATCGTGAAGGTCTGCAAAGAACTCTGAGGTAGCACTCAAGTCTGCAGGTGTGAAAGCCCCAACCTCAGGAGACACATGAGCAAAGCTTCGGTGACCAACTTGACTTACAATGAACTCTTGTCTCTCTCTGCCCAGGTGCAAGTGCAATCTCCATGCCACTGTGTGTGTGTATGACAACAGCAAATTGACCTGTGAATGTGAACACAACACTACAGGTCCAGACTGTGGGAAATGCAAGAAGAATTATCAGGGCCGACCTTGGAGTGCAGGCTCGTATCTCCCTATCCCCAAAGGCACTGCAAATACCTGTGAGTAACTTTTCTGGGTAACACCAGATTCTGTGCACCATGAGCTGAGAGTTCTCTCATTTTCACTTGCAATTATGCGTTCACTCCTCTTACTATTTTTCCTTTCCTCCGCAAAAATGCAACTAAAGCCCTTCACCCTATTTTACCACTTCATGTGTAAGCACATTTCAGCACTTGGATCAGCTGTTAATTTCAGTCTCCCAACATCCACATTAAAAGTGTTGGGAATGATGGAAATCAAAGGGGCATTTTTTTTTCCAAGTGGGTTAAACAGGAGGTGCTGTTTTTTTCTCCCACAAATTAATTTCCTATATCAAAGTATTCAAATTCACAACTCTAACTTAATGTTAACCATCCAAATGTTTACCATCTCATTTCCCATACCGGGTAAACTGAGAGGTGCTTGGTCCAGAAGATGGTTCCCTGTCCATTTTGAGCTGGGGGTCCAACTTTGTCCAGTGAAATAATTGACATTTTCCATACCAGCTGAGGTCATGCCCAAATGTCCTAACAATAGAGGCTGCCATTAGCAAGACCCTAGTAGAGCTATGGGTACCATCTGAAGAAGAAAGATACTTGTGTGTAGGCAAGAAGAGCATAGGCATGATCTGAAGTCTCAGGTGCCAAGAAAGATGCCCATCGCCACTCATTGAGCTCCCCTACCATCCCTGCAAAATGCCTGGTGTGTGAAGGGAAACATCCTCTCGAGAGATGGCCATTTTCAGCACTAGTCACCCAATTCCATGGATGGACTGATCAACCACTTGCCAAAGCCCAAAGTACACCCTCTTTGAAAAGGAGAGAAAGGGTAAGGTTGAAAATATAACCATTCAGGTGAGAAGCAACAGAAGCAGCAGGATGATGAACGGCAGGGAATGAGAACCTGAAAAGCCACAGGCTCCTTGCAAAGCTAAGAATGTTATCAGGAACTTCAAAGCAGCAGCTGTGAGAAACCAAAACCTAAAAAAAAAATGAATATCACAGGAACCAGGACCTTATCAAGTTAAATATAAGAGTAATGGACCAAGTAACAAGTCATGGAGTGTGAGGGCATGAAATTATGATAAAACTTCTATGAAGCAGAAAAAAAGAATCCTTCAAAAGATTCAAAAAAATCCCTCTTTGTAAGGGTATTCAGTTTCTGTGTTAAGAAAAACCTGACAGTCTAGTTCTTAAAATTAATACATTAAAGTCTGTTGAGCAAAATTGTTGATTTTTCAAGGTGATTTTTATTAACAGACTGTGGGTTCTGTTCCATTGCTGAGGATATAGACTCCCATACTCAGTAGGCACCTCATGAGGCTACTGGTTTTGATACCCTCTGACTGGCAACCTGAGAATCCTGTCACCACAGTTGTCCAAGTTAGCTTGAAGTGTTTCCAAAATGAAAATGGATCAGATTTCATTTTCATTGCTGTCTGCCTCTTTAGTGGGACAGGAGGGAAGAGGATGATCTTCACAGTTCTCACTGGTCTTCTGGCTCCTTTTCAGGACACTCCAATGTGTCAGGGACACCAGATGGGCAGATCGGGTGGGCTTCTCTGGAAGCCTCGGCTTCCATTTTAACATGACCCTGTTCTTCTACCCAGAGCTTTTATTTATTTCCAGACATGTTCACAGAGAACCCATTCTGGTGCCAGCCATGACTTTGGACCATCTTGAATTTCTTGTTATATTATTACAGAAATGATCTGCCCCTGCCTATGTTTTACATCTTGCTGATCACTAATATACTCCCTGGCCAAAGGCATGCACCCTTCTTTGTCGGTTCCACTGTCCAGTCATCCTTCCATTGTTGCCGACGTTCTCTCAACTTGGGTTTCCAACTGTTAAAATAGGGAAATAAGAGATGGACACGTCAGTCAAAGTTGATTTCAGTGTTCCCACCCTCACCTGCCCAACATGGTCCAGTCTTACAATGGAAATGAACATTTAAACCAAGTTTCTGTCATAGCATCCTGTACTTTGAGATATCCAAGAATGGAAGTGAACAGTTTAGTGGTTTGGTATACAGGATCCAAGATCGAATCTCTGTTTATCTGTTCACTAGCTTCTAACCTTGAAAAAGAAAACTGACCTCTCCCATGCTCAGTTTCCCATCTGTAATGGAAGGACAGTATTAGTTCCTGCCTCAGGAATTTTGAGAAAATTGAGTAAGCCATTGCATGAAGTGTGCTTAGCATAACACCTGTCACAAAACAGATGTTCAGAAATAACTTTACTTTTAAGATGTTTCCATGCCTGGGCAGATTCACTGCTGTAGAAAATATTTCTTAGTATTCCCATTGTCTACAAATTTCCAACTAGTTCTTTTTCTTTGTAGCTTATAAAAAACTAGATTGAGCTCAGTTTCTTTTCATCTCCAAACTATTCATCACCAACTCTACTTTCCACATAGATGTTCATCTTTCTTCCCTTTTTTAAAAAAGTATTTTTGCATACAAGAACTGGAGTACAGGGGGCATGACAGACCCACCAGAAACAGTGGGGAGCAGAACAGGCAGATCCACTGACATACACTGTTGAGGGGAGCAGCGGGCAAGATAGGAGAGGTCTGCCGCGCCATGTAGGTCACCTCCCTGGGGGGAAGGGAGGGTCGAACTTGTGGTGCTGCAGTGGCTGCTATAGCTTCATAGTGCTGCACTTTAACCCCTTGTGCCACCATGGACGGTCCTTTCTTCCCTTTTTGCCTGCCCTAGATGTCTTCCTATTTATTCGTGTGGTACTTTATGCTGAACATAGGGCTTCTAGCACTATTATGGTTCTCATTTCATATTGACTTTCCTTCCTGTCCATGTGTGACCCCCACTGCCCACCCCCTCACCCTCCACACATACAAGCACACACACACACACACACACACACAGTTCTAACTGAGCCTTCCAAGCCACCTGATATTAGGTCATGACCAAAAGTGTTTCTACCTAAACAAGAATTCTGAACGTCAAATCGGAGCAACTCTCACTCTGATCTACTAATCTCAGATCCTCAGCGGTTTAGAAATGACACTTACAGGGTCTCCCTGGTGGCACAGGGGATAAGCCTTAGCACTACCAAGCTATCTGTAGCCACTGCAACACGAGTTCAATCCCTAGCCAGGGAGCTGACCTACATGGCACAGCAGACCTCTCGTCTCCCTCACTGCTCCCCTCAGCAATGTATTTTAAGTAGATCCACCTGTTCTGCTCCCCGCTCTGTCTCTGGTGAATCCTTCACCCACCCCCCACAAAACCTCTGGCCTGTACCCCAGCTCTTGTGTGAATACATAAATAAAAAATACTTTTTTTTTTTAAGAAAAGAACGAAAGAATACCCACGTGGGGTAATCTCTAGATTCAGCTGAAGCTCAATCAATCACAGTAACTTTAGAATAGGAAGGTGGGTTTCTACCTACTCTCAGCAAGCTCACCAACAGGGCTTCATTAAGTCAGGAAATCATAAGATCTACCTCCAAAGACTCTCAGGCGCCCTAAATTGGGACCTGGCTGGGTGCCGGCATGGGAGATGGTGCTTGCTAGGTTTGTTGCAGGTCCACTGCGAGGTCTCTGCCAAGGCGTCTGTAGCACTTGGGGAGAAGAGCACGCTAAAAATAGGCATCCAGGCCCTCCCTGGTGGTGCAGCGGGTTAAAGCACAGCACAAAGAAGCTTAAGCCACTTCCACATGAGTTCGATCCCCGCCTGCCCCGGAGGAGATCCACATGGCGAGGCAGACCTCTCCTGACCTGACCGCTGCTCCCCTCAGCAGTGTACTTCATCGATCTGCCTGTTCTGCTCCCCACTCTGTCTCTGGTGAATCCTCTCACCCTCCGCATCTCTGGCCTGTACCCAGTTCTGTATGAATAAATAAATAAATCTTAAAAAAAAAAAAGGCACCCAGCCTGGAAAACACATCACGTTTCCCCACACTTTCCACTCCTCTGGCAGAGGGAGAAGTCATAATTCTTGGAGTAATATTCCTATTCATGTGCTTTCTATGTAAAACCTCGTTTGTTTTCTTTGTATTTTTAAGCTCTGTGTGTGTGTATGTGTGTCAAGGTATCATTCTCATTTTTCTATGAAGCTGATGTTTTATCTGAAGACATGTCTTCTTCTTCCTATGCATCATCCATTTGTCTTTGATAGAATGCTATTTTGAATGTCCTTTGAATTTCATTTCAATCTTCCAAATAGGTAGCCAGTCTCCCCAGCTTCATGCTTAGTCATGATTCTCTTGATTCCTATTGTAAAGCTCATGAATAAAATCATCAAGCAATACTTCTTTAAGTTCTGATCCCTGTGCAATAATAGGTGATGAATAGGTGATGTGTGTGTGTGTGTGTGTGTGTATATATAAATAAACACATATAGACATACATACATATACACATGTGTGTGTGTATATATGTATATATGCCCCAAAATTAATAGTTACCCTTTAGGAGATACAACCCTAGCAAAGATAATATCCTTTTACCTCTGCTTCCTAAACTCTGTTCTACAATTTTTAAGAAAAATTTCATGGTTAAATCAGTTTAGAAAATGTTGTACCTTGTGCTGGCTCTTAACTATTCACATTCTTTTACCAAAAACATTAGAGAATGCTCTCATACAGTTAGCTATTTTACCCAGCACTCCCTAAACTTAACTGTGGAACACTTAATAGTTTTCTATAAAAGACCCTTTGGGGACATTTGATGCTCCAAACAATTTCTTTGGGCTAGTGATAGATACGTCATGGAGACAGAGAGAAAACCCAGCCAATTCAGCAATATTTGATCTTTTGCTTTCCTCTTACCCACACGGTCTAATATTCTTCAAAGAAAGACAAGTAAACTGGTCTGACATTGACATCATTTGTTTGTTCAGAAACCCAACTGGAATTGTTCCACACTATCTAGCACTCCTCAGAGCGATGGAAAGTAATTTGATGAGTGTTCTATTATTTTTCTCCTATTAAATTTACATTGACCAATTTATATTTTCTCAGGTAGGCACATGTGCGTGTCATTATCCAGCCTATTT